GCCTGCTCCCTGAAGAGCTTCGCTGTGAGGAGCAGTGAATGTCATGGGCTGTTTGAATCTTTCAGTTTCTTAGGATGTAGGGACTTTTCCTCTAAACCATTGTGTGCTTAAAGAATACAAATATTGCAACAGAAATCCTATAAATAGTAATAAGATCATACAAATGTTAATATGGATGAATATTATTCCACTAATGGTCAAAATAAGTTGAAGATGGATGTTTTTCTTGGTTTGTGCCTTGGTGTAGAAGTAGTTTTTAAAAGCTGAAGCGGAGTGGAGAACCCTTGAGTTGTCCCTCTTGTGTGGAGCAGATGCGCTGACAGTGCAGGATGGCTGGGGATCTGTTGCCTGCCCAAGGTCCCTCTGCTAAGTGGCAGGTGATGCAAGTGCCCGTTGTCCTTTGATCTTCATCTCAATGTAAGGAGCAGATAATTATGTGTTTCATAAGCATTTACTACAAATGATCATGGTGTTACTATATCTAACTGATTTAATAGAAGTGTTTTTAGAAAAATTATTTTACAAGTCATAAAACATCTCTTCGAGTTTGATTTGTTTCTTTGTTTTGGGGGTTGTTCATTTTTAAGTGCAGGGATCCAAGCCCAGACCTTCTGCATGCTCAGCACACGCTCTGCCACTGAGCTACATCCCCAGCCCTAGTGTGCTACACTGTTTAGAGGGATTTTCTTTGTTTTATCTTAGTATCTCTGTCATACAATTTTTCCTTTCCATGATGGATACTCTCATGTCTCTCTTTGCAGTGAAAGTGGGTTTGAAGAGGGATTAAGTACACTGGGACTTGTATCAGGCCTCACTAGTGCCATGTGGTCTGCAGGGTGAGTATTCACTGAGTGTCGTCCCCACCTGCAAGACGGAAAACACTCTCTCCATTTTACACCCAGAATGGGGAGGCTAGAATGCCACAGATGGCCAGTAAATACATGAAAACTATTCACCAACTCTGGCCATTACAAAAATACAAGTTGAAACCACTGTAAGATGCCATCTTACTCCAGAGAGAATGGCCATCATCAAATCAAATAATAACACATGCTAGTATCTTAGGTACTGTCTTGTCGCTGAGACCCAATACCCGATACCCGTAATTCAGAGAAGGAAAGGTTTATTTTTGCTTGCAGTCTGTTCTGGTTTCAGTACACAGTGGGCTGGCTCCAGGGCAGGTGCCTGGTGGAGGGGCGTGGTGGAGGGCATGGCAGGGGTGTGGCAGAGGAGGTTGCTTATGGCGGGGCAGCAGCAAGCAGAGCTCAAAGTGGGAGGGGAATAGACCCTTCCAAGCCACGCCCCCAGCGACCACTTCCTCCAATCAGCCCTCACCTTCCAACATCACCTTGGGCTATAATCTCATCATGAATGAATCCACTGCTGACTATCATGCCCCCATGATCCAGTCATATCCAGAAAGCCCCACTTTTGAGTCATCATATTACATGCATACCCATGTTTATAGCAGCACAATTCATGATGGCTAAATCTTGGAAGCAGCCTCTATGTTCATCAACAGATGAATAGATAAAGAAAATGTGCTACTTGTATATGATAGAGTACTACTGTGCCAGAAAGAAGGATAGATTTGAGTCATTTGTAGGAGAATGAATGCACCTGGAGACCACAGTGTTAAGTGGAATAAATCAGACACATAAACTTAAATATCACATACTTTCTCTTATATGAGGAACACAAAATATAAATACAGAGCAAAATAAAGGATTGATAATAAGAAATAGGAAGATAGATCTTTCTCATGGGGAAGAGGATTAAGAGATGAAGGGAGGGGGAGAGAGGGAGTAAGGGGTTGAAAAAAAGAAATAAGATGTTTCATATACACCACCAACACCCCAACAGGAACATAGTCTTTATGTACTGGAACATGGACTAATAAAAAATAAAAACTAGAAAAAAAAGAAAAGCAAAAAAAAAGTTATATGAGATTCTCAAAGACAGGGCAGATCGAGAATTCTAATCCACACCTTCTGACTCCAAAATGTAGCTTTAACAGCCAATTTAATACCTAAGCAGCTGGGCGTGGTGGTGCCCACCTGTGATCCCAGCACTTGAGAGGCCGAGGCAAGAGAATTGCTGCAAGTTCCAGGTTTAGCGTAGGCTACATAGTAAATTTAAGGCCAGCCTGAGCTACATAGCCAGAGCTTGTCTCAAAAGCAAAACAAAACAGGGTTGGGGATTTAGCTCAGTGGTGCTACTGCCTGCCTCACAAGTGCAAGGTCCTGAGTTCAATCCCCAATACAAAAAAAAAACAACAACCAGAAACTTAAGCATATACATATTCATATACACTGTCTTATTTATGTTACTTGTAAGATCCTTTAAAATGTATGTCTTAGATTTAAAATTCATTCATGTATTTATTAGTTTTTACCTTTTATTATACCAGAAGGGTAAATATGTTTGAGCAATGGAATGCTGTGTATAGGGAATTAACATATATTCAATTGAGTTATATTATATGCAAATACGGAGAAAAAATGATACATAGTTTTGAACATTTGTCATCCTTTTATTTCTCTGTAAGCCACCAACTTTTCCAATGCAGTTCTTGTTGAGAATTGTTTAAAATTTTTAAACATCATCATTATTTTTTTTTTGATAAAAAAGCTTGTATTTAAAATCTTTTTTAAAGGCACATTAAATCAATTCTCATAAGAGTAGGCAGGGGTCAGGAGTAAGAGCAAAAGACTATCCCACTTTACCCAATATACACTAGTGTCATTTAGCAATACTATTACACAGATTCCATTTCTATTTCCCCTTTTTCTCTTCTGAAAGGATTCCAAATTCACAACATTAAACAATGTTCTTGGGGTCAGGGTTAGGGTTCTGCACTAGCAACAGTGGAAGGATGTCCTGAAGTCCTCCTTCAGGCGGACTTTACTGCCCACCAACTCCTCCCTTAAAACATTAGCTGGTTTCATTTGGAGCAAAGGAATTTCTGTCCATCCTGAAGTGTTTTCATTCCAGGACAGTCCCTTTACACCGACAGTCATCGGAGCTGTGGGGGTGGGGTCCCTGCCACTGACCTGTGTCGGTTTTTATTCTTTCGTTTTTTATGGCTGCTATGATGACTCCCTGAGGAAGTGGAAGAAGCAGCCTTCTGAGGTTTCACTCCCTGAACAGATCCATCCAGATCCTCAGGGTCCTCCTGGCTGGGCTCATTTTCCTGATTGTGGAAGTCCGGAGAAGTATCACTTTCCGTCCCACTTCCTGGTTCCCTCTTTTCAATGAGCTGGTCCTGAACTCCTGCCAATGCACTTACTGCAGCTGCCGAAGTAACTGAAGATTTACTGAAGAGCCGCTCAGCTTCCTTAAACTTCCGGTTCCTTCGGTCATTTTTGCTATTGGAATTTTTTTGGTTGGTCAGATACCGATCCCAGCCATGAATAATATTGCCATACATCTGAGTGTCTTCTAGGTAGCTTCCTTCAAAAGCATAGATCTGTCTCTCCAAGTTTGCCAGTGTCTCCGCCAGCTCCTGCTTCCGCTTCACGAGCTCCGCCAGCTCCCGCCGGGTGTCGGGGATCTGCGGCGGAGCCGCCTTGTTGTGCATCGCCATGTTGGGCTCCATCATTATTGAGTAGACTTTTTTTCTTTCTATTCTTTGCTTTCTTATTTTTATTTATTTATTTTTGTAGTGTTAGGGATTGAACCTAGGGCCTCATGCATGGTAAACAAGCACTGTGCCACTGAGCTACACCCTCAGTCCTAGAATTATTTTCTTATAAGTATTGCTAAGCCAGAACTGACCTTTAAAAATTTTTTTTCATTCATTAAGTTTATTGGTACATTTTAGGTGTGCATTGTGATCACATTCATTATTGGGAATTTGTACCTGTACATGATATATCTTGGTTCTTATTTTTCCCATTCCCCTTCCCCCCATTCCACTCCTCCACCTCTCTCTATTTGCATAAGATTTGTTTCCATTTTTTTCTTCTTTTTTCATTTTTTTCTTTCCCTTCTTTCCTTTCCCTTGCTCCCCTCCCTAGTTCCCCTTCCCCTTTGAACATTTTCTTCCTATTTCACAATATCTATTATACATTTTGGTCCTCATTTACACCTTCAGTTTCTCACATCCAGAATTGACTTTTTTTGTTTTTGTTTTGTTTTGTTTTCCATAATGGGGATCAAATTCAGGACCTTGGGCTTGTGAGGCAGGTGCAGCACCACAGAACTAAATCCTTGGCCTCAAAATTGACTTTTTAATTCAGTACTTATAGTAACAATTTAAGGAAGACCTGTGACTATGGGATCATGCGACTTCAATTCAGTAATTATTTTTTCCGCTGTTTAATACTCATTTAGTTTTCTTTCCACTGCTAGTGCCTTTATAGGACCAATGCCGGGTGGATTTCTGTATGAGAAAATTGGATTTGAGTGGGCAGCAGCTTGTGGAGGCTTGTGGCCTATGACTAGTGTGAGTAACATGTCGATTTTTTTTCCACTTTTGTCACATTTTGGAGAAACTTAACTTGAGGATTTACACTCATCACTGTCTTTCATTGCATCAAAGGGATTAGCGATGGGCTTGTTTTACCTCCTGGAAAACTCTAGAAGAAGGTATGTCCAGCGTTTGGACTGTTTTCTCTCTTTCCAGGTTATCTCGTGGAAATTGAAATGAAATACTGTTCCGCATCCATTCTCCCACTTAGCAGAGTTCTGGGCACCTGGAGGCTCATTGCTCGTAGACACTTTTTAAGATACTAACTTGTTAGAAATGGAGGCACTGGGTGTCTTTTAAAGACTAGAAGGAAAGAAGGGGAAAAAATATAAGAAAAGGAGGACAAAACAGAAACAAAGTTTTTTGTAAATAGGGAGGGGTGGAGAGATGGAAGGGAGGGAAGGGGAATGGGGAAAAAGAACTAAGATATACCATGTACAGGTACAAATTCCCAGTGATGAATGTGATCGTAATGTGTACCTAAAAAGACTAGAGATACTAAGATTCTCCTCTTTCCCCCTCCTTGTAGAGCTAAACCCCAGAACTTCAATGGCACAGAGGAGGAGGAAGCTGCTCTCCTGCCCCTCAGAGTTTAGGTGGATGAGCTGAGTGACCCGGGCTGGGGAAAGGGAGCGTGGCTGGAAGTCACTGCTGGGAGATTTCCTGTTTTATCACAGAGCTCCATGGACTCCACACTAATATGCTGGAAACATCAACATAATTTGGGATAATTTCATATCAGACTGCACTTCCTGTTGTCCTGAAAAGCTGGCCTACTGAACCAATCATATTTACAACATTTATTATGGGAAAGATTGTTGAAAAGCAATAAAAGTTTGTGTCTTTTTGTTTGTTTCGTTTTTGTTTTTTGAGACAGGTTCTCAGTATATAGTTGAGGCTGGCCTTGAACTCACTATAGAGCCCAGGCTAGCCTGGAACTCATGGCAACCCTCCTGCCTCAACCTCCCAAGTGCCATCACACCCAGCAAGGTTTGTATTTTTAAATGGCAATACTTTTCTTGAAGATATTGTTGACTCTTTTTAGGCTTCCTGTTACCTCTGTTTACTTTTTATTGTAAGTTCACTGATTATATAAATATACCTTTTTATTAAGAAGGAAAAAATAAATTGATATGTTACGTACCAATTACATAAAGATGACTCAAAATATATTAATGAGTAATATATTTAATATTGAGGGTAATTAATACTCAATAAGTAATTACTTAAAATCTGCTTTTAAGAGATGTGCTTTCTTTTGTGTCCTGAGATTTTTGTCCTTGTTCAAAGGCAAAATTCCTTCAGTTTTTCTAAAAAAATTTTATGTGTGAAAAGTACAAGAATAAAATACAACTACCATGTGTGTGCTATATAGTCAATTAAGATCTGGATTTGTAAACATTCCTAGTACAACATTATTCGTTTCCTGCAGTGTCTTCCTGTTTTGTTCCACCAGCTGTGGGTGTGTGTTGTTTCTACTCCAGGCAGTGTGTTCGATCCCTAGAGCAGGTTGCAGCCCACTCCTGCCCCCCGCCATAAGTGTATGTTTCATATGAGGGAAGTGCTTCCCCCAACTTCATATGAAGTCCATGCTGCTCTTTGAAGTGAGAGAATGTCAACTCATACCTCTTCTCATTTTCATGCTGGAGTGGCCTATTTACCTTTTTATTTTTTAAGAATGAGAGGTTTAAATCTATTCATTCAAAACTGCCTTTGAATTGTTTTCTGGACTGACACTGTGCTGTGTGCTTGGGACTTGGCGGTGATCACAAGAAGGATCATCTCTACCCTCTCTGTAATTTATACCAGTGGAAAGGACAAACAAATCTGTACTTTTGAATTATCTCACCAAAATGCTCTGGGAAGAAAACTCGGTGTGATAGAGCAGCTGGCTGCCGTTGATTAGGTCTTGGGCTTTACTGCGGGCAAGGTCTCTCCATGGCAGGGAGACTTTTGGTCTGAGATGTGCAGAATGAAAATGAGATCACTATTCCTTCATTCTAAGGAGAGAAGAGTCCCAGATTGTGCAGAAGGCTTGATGAGGCCAAAGATGAAACTGTCCCACTGACTGGTGTCTGGGAAACAGGAGGTGAGGAAGTGGGAATTAGCCAGCCCCCCATTTTGGTGTGTGTGGTTGAACCCAGGACCTTCACACTGAGCCCATCCCCAGCCCTTTTTATTTTGTTTTTTGTTTGGGGACAGGTTCTCGCAAGTCATTAAATTGCCCAGGCTTGGCTCAAGCTTATGATTTTCTTGCCTCAGCCTCCCAGAATGTTGGAATTGTAGGTGTGCACCATCACATCTAGCTAGTACCCAGCCTTTAAATGGGATGCCAGAGTTTATTTCACATCTGTGGATGTTCATTGCATGTGGACAGTGAGTGGGGATATTTTAAGCCAGGATGGTGATGGAGAACTTTGGAAGATGTGAGCGAGATGACAATGGTTTGGACCAGAAAGAGAGAGAGAGGTGGGGCCTGGGGAATTGCTGCTGTGGAGAGAGGAGAGCATTCTAGGCTGCCTTGGTTTTGGCCTGAGAGTATGGGTAGATGGCGATGCCACTTAGCAAGATGGGGAAGAATAGAAAAACAGGTCCTGGCAACTATTGAAGACACAGTACCACCACCATCTGAAATGCAACTGCTTTGTGCTCCTATGGAACCTGTATGCTTCACTGCTACAGAAATGGTCACATGTGATACATTTACCACTACCTGAGCTTTCCGAGGAGGCAAACCATGTTTACTCCTTCTTAACGTACTTCTAATGTATGGCTCCATTCCTGGAACAAAGGTGCTGAAGGAACCAAGAAAATTACTAAAAATAGAGAGGTGGGTGTGCCCAGAATGAGCGATGCTTCTGTATTTGGAACATAGTAATTCTGAGGCTCCTACAAGACAAAATGAAAACTGTTCATCCCCAAGATCATACTTCCAATATGACCATATATGAATTAAATTCGTACTTAAGGGTTTTAGTGGTGTACAGGGCATTAGCGAGTTAGTGAGAGTACTGTTGTTTGCAGATAACATGTAAGAAATTGCTTAAAATCACTCCTGCTGGGAGACATCTGATAGGAATATATTCTTGAACATATGAAAATGGATGCAGGAAGTGTGTAGTTGGAGAGCAGATGCATGTCTAACTCTCCTAGCTCATGTATCATTGTTAGGAACTGGATCATTGCGTAAAGGTGTCACTGATTTGAAAGGAATCTATATCGAGAAATATGACAAAGTGAGAGCACCAGCATTTAAGTAGAATAAAAAGACTTACAAGGAATGAAAAAGTACAGGTGGAATAGGTGTCAACCCAAATTATTTTCAGAAGTACAAGTTTTTCTGCTTTCACTGTGTTGATTTGTCTGGAAAGAGAAGACCAAAATGACCAAGGGAGTCTGGGATTATCCTAAAAACTTCTATAGCTTCATGTAGTGAATGTCTATGATTCTCTCTGCCAGGCTTGCCTTTTCCCTTCTTTCTTGTCTTGTTTCAGACAAGAAAGTCTCGGTCTCGGTCTCGCTATGTGGTCCAGGCTGGCCTTGACCTCAATTTTCTGCCTCAGCCTCTTGTGTGCGGGGATGACATGTGTGCGCCACCACAGCCTGCCCTCCCTTCTTACAGGGAACTCATCACTGTATTTGCATTTGTATCATCGTCCCTGGGTCCAAGGTGTCTGGAGTATCGGTCAGGCCTGGCCAATCATGGACCAGACCCACTGGGCTCAGAGATTCACGAAAGGCTAAGTGCACATGTGAAGTGAGGCCAGTGAGGATCTTCCCTAGGATTTTTGATTTAACAGTTGGAAAAGGAGTCTTCTGTCATCAGAGACAAAAGGAACAATTGAATCTAGAGACCAGGAAGCTGTCTTCACTGCAAACTGGGAAAAGCCTACATCCAGGATGACAACAAAGGGGAACCAAGGGTGAGAGCTCTGAAAATGTTTAGCTTCCTGGATCCAGTTATGTGAAACTAGAATCTCACTAGACTTCCAGTTCTGACAGCCAAGAAGTGTCATTTTTGGTTCTATTCACATTGTTTGGAGTTGGATGACCATCACTTACCCTACCTCATTTTTGTTACCCTTTCTAATTCTGCATAGTGAATTGTACAAAATGTTGAAATGCAAAGACATTTTGTGCTTTTATGAGCCCTGTTGCCACTCTTGGGTTAGTCTTGGGCATAACAACCTCAAAAACAAACAAACAACAGAAGGGCCGCGGAAGCTCCATAAAGGACGGAGCGTGGCCCTTGTCAGGTGGAGGAAGAGAGGACGGGGTCACACTGCACTTAAAGAAAGCTGCCTGGGGCATAGAAACACCAAAAACAAAGACAGAGTCCAAATTATTTTAACTTTTTAATGAAAATGCTTCTGACTCACAGAAACGTATGCATAATTAACCACAATGTATAACAGTTCCCCATGAAGCCCTGGCCCAGCTTTTGGCAAAAACAAATTAGGAATAGAGCGGAAGCTGTTTGTGTTCTTCCCTTACAGCATCTTCCTCCTTTGCTTATCCCCTTCTCCTGGAGGAAAACACTGTCTTAAGATTTTCATGGATCATTCCGACTTCTTGCTAGTTTCTTCCGTATGTGCATATCCCTATTTAGCACAATTATTGCATCTTTTTTGACATTCGTATATATTTTAAATTATGCATATTTTGCATATTTCATTTTATACCCAACACAGTGAACGTAGACCATGTGACTAAGTATTAAGTTATCTCATCCACTGTCCCTGTTCTGCAGTGTACAATCACGCGGACGAGCTGATTATTAAGCTGCTGTCTCTCAGCTCCAAACCCACCTTTCTGCATTCTTTCTTGTGTGTTGATGCCACCTAGGCAAATGTATTTTTCTCTTGCCAGCTGGATCCCTAAATTCTGCCAATAGGGGGAGCTAGCGGAGGACCAACGTTAGAAGGGGACTAGATCGTGCATGCTCACTGGTCACGGTCTTCCCATCAGCAGTTGTCATTGCACTTGGCAATGACAGCACTTTGTTTCAGTAGCAGTTTTTAGTTTCTGGTTTTTCCCTACACTCTCAGAACCAGCAGGACCACCCTTCTCCAAAGCTGCCAGCCCTGGCCAGTGCCCCCTCCGCCAGCCTCAGCGAGCTGGTAGCTGACTCCTCAAGGCCAACTCCGAGCCTCCTTCTCAGGGCGGGTCCCCTGGCAAGGTTCTGGTTCCTGACACCCTTTTGTTCTGGCTCACTTAAGGAAGGGGTTTCCTGTAATTACTGTCTCTGGGTTACTAAGTGTTCCTCATTTGTCCTTCACTTATCAAATACTTCTTCAGCCAAATTTATATATTAAATTTTCTTAAAATAACTAGTGTGGATTCTGTTGTCCTGGCTGCATCTTGCCTGATACAGTGAGTACAGCTTTATAGTTGGGACTCAGAGAACAGCGTCCTCCCAATACAGCAATTTGTGGCACACTGAGAAATTTGATCTAAAGGAAATTAAAGGCCTTAAGAGCATGTTCAGAATCATGGCCCTTCTAAGACTGCATCAATTGCTCCCATCCAAGTGCAGGGAGAGGCTCTTCCTGGAATTCCTTCATCTGCATTAAGTCTGGATGGCAAAAGGGAGTTCTATTGCCTCCCCCACCCCAAAATCTCATTACTAGCATCTCAGAAAAGAAAACTGAAGGCTATCACCAGGTCTGGAGCTACACTGGCTATAATGTCCCTCCCTTAAACTCATTCAGATTCCGAGAACTCAGCTCCAGGACACACCAATATGAGGAAGTCAGGAAAGATGATAAGAAACAGAAAAGATCCTATGGAAATAAGACAAATACAAAAATGCAAAAAGAAAGAAAGAGGAAAACTTGAAGACTGTGGGGGAGAAAACTGCATCAAGAACAGGATAGTGGCAGCTGTGTCAAACGCTGCTGAGACATCAAATGACCTGGGGCTGAGAACCGATTACCGAATTCAGTAATGTGGAAATCAGTGGTGACCTTGACAAGGCAGTGAAGTCGTGGGGTAAAACCCTGCTGGGAGGAAAGGAACTGAGACAAGTACATATTACCCTGTGAAGGACTTTTTTTAATAAAGCAGAACTGAGAAATGGGACAGGAACCCATAGAGGGTATTTTTGTTGTTGTTGCTTTGAGACAGGATCTCACTATGTGGTTCAGACTGGCCTTGAACTCACTACATAGCCCAGACTGGCCTTGAACTTGCAGCAATCCTCCTGCCTCAGCCTTCAGAGTGCTGGGGTTACAGGCATGGACCACCACACCTACCAGTTTTTATTTTAAAGATAGGAGGATTGGCAGAATATTTGTAGGAGATACAACAGCATATTTGTATTTTCCTCTATTGCATCTAATAGAGGAAGAAAATTTAAAGGTAAGTAATAAGAGAGAACTTTGGGAACAGTGTCCTTGGAGTCCAGTATGAAGGAATGGGGATAGACCTACACAGGTACCTGAGCAGCCTTTTATCCTACGAAAATGAGAGGCTGGCAGGTGGATTGAAGCTTTGTGGGAGCTCTTGGAGGGCCTCTCTCCAGTTCAAAGGACAGGCCTGGAGTTCAGTATAGAAGCCTGAGCAAAAGATTGAAGATAGGAAGTAGAATTGGACCTGCTAATGAGGAAGAGAGTGAAGAATGGAACTTAAGAGACATGACCAACAATGAGACTACTGCCTGTAGTGCTTTAAGAGTTGAGAGAAAGGAGTGGCAGAAAGAACTGGAGAGCTAGAGAGGGAATTTGGTGGAGAGTCCTTCTAGCATCAGAGCAGCACTGTTTCTGTCAGCTTTCTTTTAACAAAGTACCTGAGACAATCAGCTTAAAGGGAGAAAAGGTTCATTTGGATTCATAGTTTTGGTGGTTTCGGTCCATGGTTGGTCCCCTTGCTTTTGGGCCAGCAGTAAGGCAGCACATCATGGTGGGAATACACTGTGTTGCAAGCTTCTCACCTCACGGAAGCTGGGAAGCAAGAGACAAATAGGAGGAGCTGGAACCCCAATATTCCCCTCTCAAGAACATGGCCCCAGTGACCTACGACTGGCTACTATACACCATCTCTTCAAAGTTCCACCGCCTCCCAAGGCTGCTACTCTGAGGACCAAGTCTTTACACGTGGGCTTTTGAAGGACACCCAAGATCCATACTATAACAGAGATCATGTTAAGGTATAGTAAGAAGAGCGATTTTAGTCGGCAAAGGAAAGGTAAAATGTCACCAAATGAAACAAGGCCCCGATTGTCTCTCTTTATTGGACATACACATGGGAAGCATCTTAGTTAACGAAAGCAACGGTTAAGGGAACATAGATGGCTTACAGTACTGGTGAGGGGTAAGGCAGAAGGAGTGGGGTCAGAGAAGCCTGTAAAAGTCATTCTTGCTTACAGAGTTAGGGTCTTGATAATGGGAATGGAGAGGAGGTTGCACAATGGATATTAGAAATAAAGCTTTGGTGAGGGCCAACATCCTATTAGAGCTTTTGTTATAAAGTCTCTCCTCTCCTTTAAAAAATTTTCTTACACACATACACACACACACACACACACACACACACATACATTTTTTGGTAGTGCTGGGTATTGGAGGCAACACTTCATGCCTGAGAAGCAGGCTCTTTACCACCGTGCCACATCTCCATTCCTCCCTTATAGGTGTAAAAGAAGAATTATATTTATGTTCATACAGCACTTCAGACTCTCAATTTACTAATCCCCCAAGAATTCTGAACTGTCATTCAGGTTATATAGAAAGTCTTGTTTCAAATAACCTATTTCTGCAATCTGATTAATTATACAAGCAGGAAATGAAAATGTTACTAACCGCACTTGTTAACAAAACATTTGTTTCTAGCTCCTATTGATTTCAACATAATAAAAAGTTAGTTCAGGGGCCGGAGATTTAGCTCAGTGGTTCTGTCGTCTGCCTTGCAAGCACAAGGACCTGAGTTTGATTCCCGGTACCAAAAAAAAAAAAAAAAAAAAAAAAAGTTCATTTCCTGGAACTAGGGACTGGCAGAATGCAGGGAAATTCCCATGTTGTTCCTTTTGATGCTATGAAGATAGTCAGGTGAACCAAGAAAAGGTAGAACGTCAACCTGAAATAGAATAATTTTCTTCTTATCATAAAACAATACACATCCCTTATAAAGTTTCTTTCTTCCCAGATACTTTTTTTATGGGATGAATTTATGCCTGATGGTTGCTATTTCAGAGACAAGGACACAGGAAACACTGGGGAGACTTTGGGAACACAAAGCAGGACAATTGCAAGTTGGAGTCCAGCCTGAACAACTTAGTGAGGTCCTGTCTCAAAATAGAGAAGAAAAGAAGGGCTGGAGTCAGAGCTCAGTGTGAAGATCCAGGGTTCCTAGTGCTGTAGGTGAAAAACAACAAGCAAGCAAGTAAGCAAGCACCACAAGTCTCCCAAACCTGTAAGGTTCCCTAGACCAGATGTGGATTTGAAAGAATCCCAAGAAAAAGAACCAATTCCTTCCACCACGTGGGGACACAGCAAGTAGATGGCTGTCTGTGAACCAGGATGCAGGCGCTCCCCTGAAACTGATTCTGTCAGCACTTTAATAGTGGACACCTCAGCCTCCAGAATGGTGAGAAATAAGCTTCTGTGGGTTATAACCTTCCCAGCCTCTGGTATTTTGTTATAGCAGTCTAAATGGATTAAAACACACTACTGGGGAATTAGTATTTTAAGTAGCAGAGAACCACTGATTTTTGAACCACTGATATTTTGAAGTCCAAGGGACATAAAAAGCAGACTTTGAAGAGAAATTTTTTGGTGATTACGTGCAGAAACGAGCAGGAAAATTTTTTGGTAATTATGTGCAGAAATAAGTAGTTTTCTCCATTGTGAGAGATAGAGAGATAAACTAAAAATATCATCAGCTGCATTAGAAGATATTTGAACTCTTATGATGAACTGTATGTGGGGGCAGGAAGAGAAAGGAAAATGGAAAGAAATTCAAGTTAATTAGAGAAAATGAAGATGTTGCCAATCTATGTCTAATATTTAAGAATGTTTAGCTTATTTAAAGACAAAAACCCAACCTCCTGAAAATGAAATTTTGGGTAATGTAATAACAAAATATTTAGGGAAAAAGGTTTCACTAAAATAATTATGGGCAGATTCTATGAAGATGCAGACACCGCGTGTCTCTGAAGCCATGGCTCTGCAGCATCTGCCAGGTCCCGGGGTCCCGGAGACCCCATCCAGAGGGCCCTTTCCACCAATGACCTCGCTATAATGTATGTTTTATGACGTTTACAGCCAAACTTTCCAACATTTCAGACTAGTGGGCAGTCTCTCCAATATAAACCAGGAAACATTGCTTTTGCTGATATCCTCTAATGATGCAAATCTGAGCTCATTCTTAGCACGTGTCTGTCTGTTCTCCCTTAGCCATTTTGTGAACTCGGTTAAAACTAGGACTTAGCTTAAACTCTGTGCTTTGGGTCTGTCACGGTCATATAAATAAATTCTCAACAGGGGGCCGGGAATTTAGCTCCGTGGCACAGTGCCTGCCTCACGAGCACAAAGTCCTGAGTTCTATCCCCAGTACTGGCGCGGGGAGAGCGAGGAATAAATTCTCAACAAATTGCTGCTAGGGCGGCTGTGGGCCCTATTGTGGAAATACTGGTTTACCAGAAAGATATGTTACATTAAAAGGTCAGGGTTCGCCTCAGGTGTGTTTTGGCCCGAGGTGGACCGTCTGGTTGGTGCAGTAGTTCCACTTTTAGGGATGGCCTGACTCTCAGGAGCGCCAACACAGCACTGCACATTTGACTCAGTCCAATTGTTACTTCTGCATGTCAGTTTGCTTGCACAACATCCTTTCTCAGAGCCGTATTGCATAATATATTCACGAGAAAATAAAAGCAGCTGGTCACCCGGCAGAGAATTAACTTACATGTTTTTCTACTGATACAAAGTGTAAGAATCTGAGCTTGTTTTGGAACCCTTTAGTGATGATTACATTATATTTTCCAAAACAAGTAGTGATTTTTGGCCTCTTCATCCTGAATGTCAGGGCACTGGACACTTTTATTGCTGCAGTATATGAGCATGCTGTCATATTGCCGAACAGAACAGAAAAGCCTGTTTCGCACGAAGAAGCTTTGCTCCTGATGAACAAGAACATAGATGTTTTGGAAAAAGCGGTCAAGCTAGCAGCCCAGCAGGTAGTGCCCTTTCTGTCCTGGCTGGGACATTATGAAGGAGATTTGCAACTTGGTAAGAGTGTGGGTATTTGGAATTTACGAGACATTCTTTTGGCCCCGCTTGCTTTGAGCAGGGTGCACATATCATTGTGACCCCAGAAGATGGAATCTATGGCTGGGTCTTCACCAGAGAGTCCATTTATCCCTATCTGGAAGATATACCAGCCCCGGAAGTGAACTGGATTCCCTGTAGAAACCCCAAGAGGTAAATCCGTGTCATTACCCTTTGATTTTGGGAGGGAAAGTTGCAACAGTGGAGAATACCAACACCAAATTCACTGTTTGCCTAGTAATTTTTCTGGCAAATAGCCAGTCCATGGGGACAGATTTCTCATGTTTCATAATGTGTACCATCTGGCATGTCTCTTGTTTGGAACTAATTTAAGATAATGATATTTGATTAGCTATTTGTTGGAGTTTTATTTAAAGAACAGTATGAATACATATGCAATTTTTGTAATATGTGTTTAATTGGGTTTCATCAAAATGAAAACGTTGCAATATCTAGGATCTATGTTCTCAAGTACAGTAAAGGGTTCATCCATGAACATCTACTCCATTCATACAAATGGAAAAAACATGAATGAGTCTATTTTCCAAAGAGTTTTGTATCACCATGATTTACACTGTGATCAATGGGTGAATGGAGATGAAACAGGGAGCACTGTTTTTGAGACCACCTCTTACTGCCCCCTAGTGAAGTGATGTAGGACATGCAACCTAGATGCTTGGCATTTCTGTTCCTTTCTTTATCTGTAAAACAGGGTGATAAAGCTTCTTCTCCACCTTCCTATGGAGTAGACAAGAGTGTCAAATGAGGTAATAGATGTGGAACTGGTGTACTGCATTGCTTTTCTCTGCTGTTAGCTGTCACTATCACTTTTTTTTTGGTACCGGGGATCGAACTCAGGACCTTGTGCTTGCGAGGCAGGCAGCAGCACCACTGAGCTAAATCCCCGGCCCCACTATCACTTATTTTTAACAGAAAGAACTCAGTCTGACTTCTTTGCATTCCTATCCTTAGATTTTAGTAATTATTAATAGCTGTGGCTTAGGCATAACTTTTTTGAAGAAAATATGTACAACAAATTAGATTACAAAATAGGTTTCTTTAGGTCTATTTACTTTTAAAATAATTTGTACCTAATTCCTTAAATAACAAACTTTAACAAGTAGTTAATTTACTAATTCTGTACTTCCTTACACCTGTTCAGAGTTACAACTATTGCACAAGAGAGGAACTTCCTTAATAATTGTGACCACAAGATATCAAGCAATCTCAAACTCAGTGCTATCATAGTAAGTTCTGGTCTGTGAGTCAAGTCTCTCCCTGAGATTTTCACCTTTGGAAAAATATTCCTTCAATGTTGCACAGTCAATAAATCCATGTTGCTATGACTAAACACTTATGAGGCTCTCCCAGAACAGATAGCAATCATCATTTGATGTAATTCATGAGGCAAATTTTACAATAAGTCACTCTATTTGACTAGACTGATTAAACTGACTTTCCTAAGGAAAAGATGTTCATAAAGTGTAATTAGCCTAGGATGTACCCTGTTAAGTTGAGAAGGTTAATCACAGGTAAAAATTAACATTGTTGAGTCCTGTAGACACTTATCCAAACAGCAGACTTTTAGCTCTGTGTTTTAAAGAGGAAAAACCTGGTTATTTAATATAATCACAGTTACTGCAAATGAAATCCATAGTTTCTTCCCTATTTATATTTGTCTCTGAAAGGGATCATAGAGAGCCACATGACCATCCCTGTGTATCTATACACTACTACTTGGAATGCTGACCTGTCAAACACTCCTTTGAGTTTTTTCCCCCCATGAGAAACTAACACTTAGCCAAGAAAAGAAAATTACAGAAAATACAAGACTGACTTGTTGAACATCTTCATGAATATTGCTAATATTTCCTCATTTATCCTGAATGAAAAAAAATATATCTAAAGGAATGGGCTATTAATTTTTCCATTTTATTCAGATTAGCTCACCACCAGTTGCAAAGTGATCGTGGGGAGATCTCAAACAGCTTCCAAAAGCAATACAGCCATCATTGGTGTAGGTGCCCGCTTGGCAGCCATTACTTATTTATTGAGCACTTACTTGGGCCCAGGGACTGGATCTGTTGTGCATGTTCAGTTCATCACTAGTGACAGCAGCTATCACTATCTGTATTTTAACTATGAGAAGAAATGGAGGCATATGTCCTCCTAATTGGTAATTAGATTACTGCAATTAAAACACAGCTGTTTGCATTAAGCCTGGATACCCGAGTGGGGGCCTGGAGGGACTATATTACGCGGACATTTTCAGTAACTAGAGAATCCACTTATTCACTAAGAGGGATCTGCCTGCTAAGCCTTGGATATCCTATTTTCTCCCGAAATCTACCTCCGTCTAGCTTCCCTTGGTCTTTGTTCTGCCTTGAGCAATTCATTCATCCACACAGCCTGCATCTCTCAAATGAGAACCCCTCAAATATGTGAAGACAGCTGTTACCTCACCTTCTTGTTTCTAGGGTAAATATCCCCAAATGTGGATGAGGTTTAATATTATTCTGAAAAGCAATTACACGGTCTGTATTTTCCTCAGCATTTCTCACGGGGGCCCTTTAAAATAGAAAGGAATCTGCATGTTACATGTGAGGGAAGAGAAGACTAAGCCAGCATTGTGAAGTGTCTGTTTACATTTTCACTGCACAGTGCTGCAGTTGTTCATGGAGGATGAGCTACACGGGACCCGGCTTGTCCTGCTGCCCGCTAATTGTGCTTCCCACAGCACCACATATCTGCAGAAGTGCAGGATTGTGGCTTGGATGATAGATTAGGTCTTTCTCATAGAAGAATCGGCTAAATTTCAAGTGCTTCATTGACTTTGCAGGGAGCACTTCAGAAGAAAAAGTGCTAGGCAGGTGTGCATGCCTATAATCCTAGCACTCAGCGAAGCTGAGGCAGGAGAATTGCAAATTTGAGCCCAGCCTAGAAAACTTAGCAACTCTACAAGATCCTACCTCAAAACAAAACAAAACAAAACAATCAAAGAAGGGCAAGGGATGGAGCTCACTGTGAAGGCCCTAGATTCAGTCCCCAAGACTGCAAAAACCAGAAAAGACAGACAGAAAGAGTAAGTGTTGCTCTTTCTCCTCCTCCTCACCCTCCCTTTGTATTTCCTGTGCACCACTCCTGCACTGAAGTCCGGCACTTTCCGAGAGGTTCACTTTCATGACAACAAAGACAACAGTGCATGTGATGTTTTCAATCTTTTCTCTTGATTCTTGTCCCTGGGCTCTAGTGTTATAGGAAACAAGCAAATAGCATCACTCTGGCATTTTGGAAATCACTAAAGTAGAGTCAGTTTTCTGGCAATATCTACTGAACAGATTTGGCAACACCCCAGTGCAAGAGCGACTCAGCTGCCTGGCTAAGGACAACTCCATCTACGTTGTGGCAAATATAGGGGACAAGAAGCCGTGCAATGCCAGTGACCCTCAGTGCCCCCCCGACGGCCGTTACCAGTACAACACTAACGTGGTGTTTGATGCTGAGGGGAGGCTGGTGGCCCGCTACCATAAGGTAAGAGTCACCTCTGCCCCCGCTCCACTTGGCTTCTTTTGTGTGTGATATGTGTGTCTGCTCCTCTGCTGAATGCTGGGGAGGTGACTGCTGCGGATACACCTCCTAATTACTTCCAACTCGAACTGAAAACGGGATTTAATTTACTTCAATTCCAAATAAGCATTCTGAGCTTGAATCATAAAATAGTATATGGCAGGAAGTTAAAACAGATATGATAATAGCCTCACAAAGATTTTGATATTCTCTGAGAAAGAAAAGTCTCCCTTTCTTCCACAATATCAGAGGGTTTTTTCCCCCAAACTAACAATATTTCATACTAGGCTACCATTTGTTTCATTAGGACTTCTTTGATTGCAATGAAATATTATCTCAATAGAAATTGGCTTTTTAATTAAAATTGAGAATTTTCTTCCGTATACACTGGGAGAATGCATAGCACCTAAAGGGGAGGTCTTGTTGGGGTGTGCTCTGTCCCTCAGAGGGCCAAGCCGTGCTGTGCTTCCCTCTAACCCTCTTAGCTCTTATTGCCAGCTTTTCCCCAGGGTAACTTTCCCTCTAGAAGCACATGTGTGCAGAAACACGGAGCTTATGTCTTTATGAAGTAAAAGCACAAGAAGAGTTTAGGTCTCATAGCAATGTTACAAAGGTCGCACCAGGCCCTTCCGGAGCCATTTGCCTAAGGATGCAGGACATGCCACCACATGGGAGGGGAATGGAGGAACAAGGAGCCCTCAGTGAGCAGCAGGGCTTGGGGAAACTGATGCTAGATGGTGCCTGTGCACATCTTGAGCAAAATAAAAGCCTGAGCCGAGCATGTGCCATACTCCTGAGCCCAGGGTCAAGTGGATTTTTGAGCAGTAATCAGGTTGAAAAAATAAAATTCCTAATATCTTATGAGTTAATAGACTTGGTTGTTATTATTATTGTTGTTATTATTTGGCACTGGGGATCAAACTCAGGACCTCGAGCTTGCCAGGCAGGCACTGTGCCGCTGAGCTACATCCCCAGCTCTAAGACTTGGTTATTGCACTGTGTAAATTAATTCTAAATTTGCATCCCTTGATTTATATAGTTAATTTCTTTTTTTAATGAGTTAGATTTCACACAGGGAATGCTGTTGATATTTAGAGTACAGTAGGCCAGGGATTTAGCTCAGTGGTTTTGCCACCTGCTTCGCAAGCACAAGGTTCTGAGTTTGATCCCCGTTACCCAAAAAAAAAAATTATTTATTTTAACTTGCTTTTGTTTTTGTACCGGGGATCGAACTCAGGACCTTGCACTTTTGAGGCAGGCGGTGGAACCACTGAGCTAGATCCCCAGCCAAAAATATGTAAGAGTACAGTGGAAACACTGAAAATTTTAAGATTTCATCCTGTAATGTTTAAGGCAGAAACATTCACATCGTCAATACCACTGGTAGGTGTGGTTTTATTTGTTGGTTGTGGAGCAATAAAGTCACAGCGCATCTGCAGTTGTATGGTGGGCTGACTGGTGCAAATGTGTGTAACTTCAGGGATGCACATCAACACTCATGCCAGGAAAGACAATGCAGCTCTTAGCCATATCCATTGGGAATTTGTTCTGTTACTAATTTCCTCCTTCTTTGTTGTTAACAGTACAATCTTTTTGCACCAGAAATTCAGTTTGATTTCCCCAAGGACTCAGAACTTGTGACTTTTGACACTCCCTTTGGGAAGTTTGGTGTCTTTACTTGCTTTGACATTTTTTCTCACAACCCGGCTGTGGCGCTGGTGGACGAGCTTCAGGTCGACAGTGTTCTCTACCCCACGGCATGGTACAACACGCTGCCCCTGCTCTCGGCTGCCCCCTTCCACTCAGCGTGGGCCAGGGCCATGCGAGTCAACCTGCTTGCCGCAAATACGCACAACACCAGCATGCACATGACAGGTAACTCAGTCTCTGAGCACTGAGGGCAGTTACAGTCTTGGGAAGTCATCACTGGTTTTCGAGCCACACTTTTCTTTAATGATTCACTCATCAACTCCAATACCACAAAAAATGAGTGACAGCATGGGTTTCTGCTTAGGAAATTTTATTATTTTGGGGGTATATGATTGTGATACATAATAATTAAATTCAACTTGGGGAATTGGTACATACATATATTGCATAATTAAATTCATCAGGAATTGGTGCATAGATATGTTGCGTCTTAATTTTACTAACTCCATTGGAAAGGAGCTTTATTCTTGTGAGTAAAGGGGGCAAACATGATCTCAATTTTACATGAAGGGAGATTTGAATTAAAGAGAAACCAAGTCATAAAAAAATCAAAGCCAGCTCTATAAAACATCCTAGCCACTATTACTAGTAATATTGAAATAAGTTGTCTTGTTGAGATGACAAAACCATTTGAGACTTAATTTAGAGTTTATCCTTTATAATATCCATGTTCAAGGTAATTCACACTCCTCTCTAGACTGCTTCGCTATTTGTTTATATAAATGAAGACTCCCAAAAGCAAGTAAATGAATTAGATCAGTGGAGAGCTGAAATCATTCTTCATGTTTGGGAGGATTTCCTAGCTTCTTAGTAATTTGGCTTGTAAAAAAGCAAAGCCCAGGAAGAAAAAAGGGCCCCTCCACATTCAGTGATTATTTCCGTGACAGTAGGGCCTTCTGGTGGATGCAGAGTCAAGGAGGATTTAGGCCAAGGTAACAGCTATTTCCTTAACTGTCTTGAAAATGCTGATGCTTTAATAATATTCATAGAAGGTGGAAATTTTTCATTCATTTATCACCATAAAAAATGTAAGGGCTGGGGTGGGTGATGCTCAGCAGCAGGGCACTTGGGGAGCACAAGCGAGAACCTAGGCTCCATCCCCCGCACATGGAGAAGGAAAACCTTGGAAGCCAGTATTTGTGCACCTTTCTGTTGCCTGCAGGGAGTGGGATCTATGCCCCGGAAGAAGTCAAGGTGTATCACTACGACATGGAGACCAGCAGTGGCCAGCTGATGCTTGCAGAGTTGAAGTCCCGGCCTCCCCTGGAGCCCACCTTCCCTCCAGCTGTGGACTGGAGCGCTTATGCCAGAAGTGTCAAGCCGTTCACCTCTGGGCAGTCACACTTTCCAGGGATGATTTATTTTGATGAGTTCACCTTCACTGAACTTAAGGGAGACGCAGGAAATTACACAGTGTGCCACAAAGATCTGTGTTGTCATATAACGTACAAGATGTCTGAGAAGCGAGGAGATGAGGTCTTTGCCCTGGGTGCTTTTGACGGGCTGCACACAGTCGAAGGCCAATATTACCTACAGGTAGAAGTGTCTGCATGTGCTGGAGTGGAATTAGCGTTACTGAGCCGTGACCTTTCTTCAAAAATTATGCTGGATTCAGTTAATTGGTTAATCTTCTATTTATCACAGACATCCCCCCCCCAAAACTTTTAATTTATTCGGTCTTAGCAAAAACAGAGTCAGTTTTCTTAAAAGAGATACTGAATTTAATCAGTTTATGAAATAATCCAGATTAGGGTTAGCAATAGCTAAAATTTAACATACAATGAGCTCTGATTTTTAAAATTCTAGTCTATTCTATTTGGCTTCATTTAAAAAGAAAAAGAAGAGGGCCGTGGATTTAGCTCAGTGACACTGTGCTTGCCTTGCAAACGCAAGGTCCTGAGTTTGATCCCCAGTACTAAACAATTTAAAAAAAAGAAAGAAAAAGAAGAAATCTTTATCTACTAAATTGGAATTAGGATTCACTAATAAGTTGTGACCTGCAGTTTAAAACACACAGCTTGGGAGGCAGCTTAAATATTCTGCTGTTCTTTGAAATTGTGCTCTTTAGCTGAGGAATATTTCTGTGCTTCTGACTGCCTCTCTTTCCATTTTCTGCACAGATATGCACCCTCCTGAAATGCCAGACCACTGACCTGAGGAGCTGCGGGGAGCCCGTGGGCTCAGCTTTCACCAAGTTTGAAGAATTCTCCCTCAGCGGCACATTTGGAACAAGTTATGTCTTCCCACAGATCGTCCTGAGCGGGAGTCAGCTGGCCCCCGAGAGGCACTATGAGGTAGGAGGTTTTCAAGATGACAGATTTCTTAGAGCAGATGGGTTAGAAAATCTTCCAAATAATGGGGTCCTATTGAAATGTTATTGTCCATATTCTATGAAAGGCGCTTTAAAGATAAGTGGAAACAATGATATGAAACACAATTTGTGGTTTTAGATAGTCCTTAGGGTGTGATGGAGAAGTTGGGATTCCCTTTTCTACATAAATGTGATGTCGAGATCAAGGTAACATTGAAGCCACAGAGAAATGAAAATGAAGATATTGATTGCTGATCGTGGCTTCTAACTGCTGTTCTGCTCTGTTGCATGGTGTAGAAGGTTCAAATTAAATATGGTACATGAAAGAATTCATTTTCGACTTGCTTTGTGGGTCGGTTATTTTGAGAGCTGTTTATAGTGACAATGATAGTTAATAATTTGTGTAATATTCCATTAGTTCAAAAAAATGATATTTTTTTTTGGTGGTACTGGGGCTTGAACCCATGATCTTCTCAGTGAGCTTCATCTCCAGCCCATTTTTTAATGCTTTATTTTGAGACAGGGTTTCAATAATTTGCTCAGGCTGGGGTCCATATCAGGGGTTTCTTGCCTTGGCCTTCCAGAGGGCTCAGATTACAGGCATGTGCCACTGTGCTCAACTTATAGGACACTGATTAATACATTATCTGATTTGACCATCTCTGAAAGGGACTTATTTGCTACTCTGATACACAAGCCTCTTTACTATTAGACCCAAACATGAACCTAGGTCTTCAGTGCTTTGTACTACTCTGAGCTGCTTTAGGAGTGATCTTGCCAGATGAGGCCTCTGGGCTGGAAAGGAAGCTCTGCACCGGAGTTAACCCTTCACTTTCTTTGATTAGGTTTCAAGGGACGGACGCCTAAGGAGCCGGAGTGGAGCCCCTTTGCCTGTCTTAGTTATGGCGCTGTATGGAAGAGTGTTTGAGAAGGACCCTCCACGCCTGGGGCAGGGACCTAGGAAATTGCAATGATGCCCAGCACCAGAGCCTTTCCAGGTTAGCCTGGCAAAGCAGGGGGTGGGGGTGCTGGAGAGAGAGAGACAGAGACAGAGACAGACAGAGGCAGAGAGGGAGGAGGGCCTTTAGTGTTTGCCTGGAAGAGAGGCCAGAAACTTACTGTAACAACAAATCAACTTCAAATTTAAAAAGCAAGGAGTGTTCTATGGTTTGAATATGATTTATCTTGTCTTGCAAAACCCTGCACCTCCTTGGGACTCTGCCAGGAATTGTCAGATGTGAACCATGGGCCTTGGACTAGAACCATGAGCCCAAAAACCCCAAATGAACCTTCCTTTTTTCTTTATAGTTTACCCAGCCTGTATTATTACTTTATTAGTAAAGATGGAAAAGGATCTGAGGATGGGGTGAGACCAGAGGGCAGAGAGGGGAAGGAGAAATAAAAATGATCAAGGTCCAGTATGTCTATGTACCAGTTCCTTAGGATGAATGTAATTATTATGCATTGGAAACATATAATAAAGATTTTTTAAAAATTAAAAAACGAAATAAAAAAGACAGGATTTGTGGATATTTGGTGTAGCTCATTTACAGGTGCTGCATTGACCTCCCATGTATGTGCGTAGTGTGTGTAAGTGTGGATATGTATAGTGGAACATATATAGAAATGTGTGGCGAACCTGGAAAGACCCACTGCAGTAACTGCCCCCATGTATGCAAATGTCACCCCCACCAGGTGATGGTTAATCTGCGTATCAGTTTGACTGGCCGTGGGTGTCCAGCTGGGTGAGGGTTATTTCTGCATGTGTCTGTAAGGGCTTCAGAACTGGGGAATGGAATGATGCCTCCCTGATATGGGCGGGCATCATTCAGTCCCCCAAAGGCCTGAATAGCAGAAAAAGGTAGAGGAAGGTTGTGTTCATTTCTTTCCTGTTTGAGCTGGGACCTGGTTCTTCTCCTGCTTTTGGATGCTTGGGCTGTCAGGTGTGGATGGGAACTGTCACCGTGAGCTCACCTGTCAGCCCTTCACACTGCACCCTGGCTGTCTTGTGGCTCCAGCTTGCAGGTGCAGTGCAGAGCACAGGACGCCTCAGCCTCCTTAGCTGGAGACTCCAGACCTTATAATAAATGTGTTACAGGGCCAGGATTTGGCTCAGTGCTTTGGCCACCTGCCTTGCAAGCGCAGGGTCCGGAGTTTGATTGCCGGTACCAAACAAAACAAAACAACCCCAAAACAAAACAAAAAAAAATGTGTTACATCAATGTGTGTCCCGTCAGTTCTGTTGCTCTGGTGAATCCTGACTGGTGCACATTGTTTTTGGATACACAGGCTGAACTTTGAATATCCAGAGGGTATTTGACTGCAGTCGAGTGATATAGACATTTGTGGACAGAGGCATCTTTTCAAGTAATTATGAACGACTTTGTAGCTAATTTAAATTGTTCCATTATCTATTTATTGTAATCTACTTGACTTGTAGGGTCAATTAGTATGGAAATTAGATTCTCAGAATGGAAATAATAAAGAAATAAAAAACTTTCTTGAGATCACACTGTTCCCTTCTGAATTAATTCCATCTTAAATTCTGTCTCATTCTGGTTAAGGCCCCATGCAGTACACAGGTGTTGGTTGCAAACTGTGCCCCTTCCTTAGAAAGGGCCCCGTCACCTTTCCCCTAGCAACCTCTGGCCCACTTAACCTGGCTCTCAGTCCACCTGTTGGTCACTGATTAACTCTTGGAAGAGACTTCCAGGAGAGCAGGTGAGTTCTCTCGGGTGCGGTGGGGAGGCTGAGGATCACTGAGTTCAGAGTTCAGAGTGTGCTTGTCCCCACAGAAAGTGGTGACTGCATTTGCAGGCTTTTTCTAGGTGTTTTTTCCCAGCCGATATAATTTAATCCAGTAATGCAAAGCCACAGACCATCTGGGTAGCAGAAAATGCCTTTGGACTCCCCACTCCCCTCTCTCTTAGATTCTCTCTTCAGGAACTGTAGCCCTCAGATCCCAGGGAGGTAACAGAGCGTGGTCTGGGTGTTTTGGCCATGCATGCCATGGGCAGCTTCCCTCTTTATGGCCTGACATCGGCTCCTCTGAGGCTTCTTCCTCCTCCCCTAGACAGCTGTCTGGAGGTTGGTGTGCACATTGGCCTTGGTTTCCTCATCTCCCTTCACTGTGTGCACTCTTAGCCAACCAGACTTCTGGCCTCTCTTCAAAATCAGATCTCACGGTCATTCCTCAGCTGTTATTCTCCAAGAGGGAATGTCTGTACTATGCCCATTGAGTTGTTTTACCCCTTATCTTTGTTTGTTTGTTTTTTAGAGACAGGGCCTCCTTATGTAGTCCAGGCTGGCCTTAAACTCCCAGCAATCCTCCTGCCTGAGCCTCCGGAGTGCTGGGATTACAGGGTGCACCACCACGACTGGCCCCCTTGTCTTTTAATACTCAAGTTTTTAATTTTCTTTGCTGCCTGGCCTTTCTCCCTTCCCTCGCCTCATTTCTCACTTTGTTGAGAATGAACTTATAAATGAGGAGCTTTGCTAGACTCAGCTCCCACAGCTGTATCTTCCTCATCTAGACTATTTGGAGAACATCAACCAAGTATTTTCTGATATGCAGAGTAGAACTCACAGGTTAGTAAAAGAAAAAAATGAGAGACAGTCTAGGCTGTAAAATAAAACAAACACTATAAACTAGGGTGCATATTTGTAATCCTAGCACTCTATGGAAGGCTGAGACAAGAAGATCCAAGTTTGAATCCAGCCGGGGCAACTTAGTGACTTAGTGAGACTCTGTCTCAAAATTAAAAATAAAAAAAGGCTCAATGTGGAGGCCCTGGGTTTAATCCCTAGTACCACAATAAAAATAAACAACTCTAGGAGTTTATTGTTTTGGAATCAGCTCCTGTCCTGGACCCCAACCAACCAAGCTAAACATCCAAATGGAATCACACTAAACTTGCATATCACCAAGTGGAAACTACACTGCTTATCTGACCCTCTGAGAAATCAGGACCAGAGAGATGACAACTCAAATTTCAAGTTTCAATTGGCCTGATAACAGACAGCTCTCTAATCTGTATACGTAGGAAGTAACTTGATACAATCTGATGTTAATCAAATAGTTTTTACTCTTCTGTCTCCCAGTCTCCACCTTGCAAGAAAAGTCACTTGAAAGTGACCAAGCCATTTTTTTGTTCTTTTGTTCTGCTTTCATCAGCCTTTCTCTGTCTATATATTTTTCTGCTCAGCCCACTGTAACACTTACTTTATTTTATGGAATTTTCCTTACCCATTTCTAGAATTAAAAATTAAGCTTTTGAAATTAAATTGAAATTTTGTTCTCTGGAAGAGGTAATGGGCCAATGTTTAGAGGTTACACTCAAAGTGTAAAAACCCTTTTATTATGTCTTACAGACAAAATATATACTTTCGACGTGAACAACTTCATCAACTGGATTAAGGTCAAGGAAAGCGTTGGCACCGAGTCATGGCCACTGAATATTAGTCCTCAGCTCATGTGTTTAGCGGTGATACAGAACTGCTGTCTCATATTTCATCTCACGCACAGGTGCACACGTACACTTGGCTCTTCAGAGTCCACCAGGGGATGGGCAGCAGATGGTGTGAACCCCACTGAGTCCTGGTTCTTGGCTCCATATCTCCAGTTTCAGATTCTCTCTGCTTGAATAGGACAAGATTTACTGCTGAGTTTCTTTTGGAGCTTGCTGCCGGGGCTGGAGTCATTGCTACTCTGGCAGCAGGGGCACACTAGGGTCAGGCTAGTGTGGGCCCCATCCCTTCTCTTTGCAGGGAGCTGTCCCTTTTCTACTCCAGAGGCACCAGCTCCATCCATGCAGACTGTTGGTGCCTCCTGCCTGTAGACCCAGCCAAGGACGCTCTACTGCAAGCAGTACAGTGTTTCATCTCAGCCTTGCTCTTGCCTGGTTCACACTAGAGGGGCCGGAAACACAGGGTCGGTGTGGTGGTAGCACATGGGGGAAGGAAGTGTTCCCCGATCCTGTGACACAGTATCAGTGTCCTATTGAGCCTGTGCAGGTCTTAGACCCACCTTCCGGAGCACCTCCAGGTAAGTTTCTTCTGTCCTTAGGGCGGGGACAAGGCAGAGGGTGTCAGAGCTGGGGTTTACCTTCCCCTTTGTCAAGTTAGAGGAGTTAGCATTGATGTTTCCCTAGCTCCTGTCCAACAGGCTCAGGTAAAATGCCTTCCCTCAAGGGCAGGCTCTGCCTTGGGCACAGTTCAAAATGAGCTCACTTCCCCTCTGCCTGCAAGAAACACAAGGGGATTTACAGCCTGATTTGAGTCCATTTGGCCAGAGAACATGTTGGTACACCAGGAGGGCAAGCTCACAAGAGTGTGAGGGTCCCCTTACCTTAATGGAGTTTTAAGTCTCGAGATTGTTCACCTGAGGTTCCAATGGTTCATCGAGTGCAAGTCAAGTGATCCTTACCAGGGTCCTGGTTTCAGCACGAGGCTCTGCCCCTGTGAGATTTATCCTCTGTATTTGCCTGTCTTCTACTCTGAGAATGACAGCTTCTGTGAGTTCGAATTGATATAGGGGAAATATAATTCTCAACCTGTTAGATGTCAAGTGTGCTGAGGTTGTGGTCCCACAACATCAAGGAATGAAATCAGGAACCAAAAGAAGTTAGGAGGGTTTTACTGAACATAGGGAGAGAAGAACAGCTCCTGGATTTGGTACCCGAATGGGGTGGCCACCAAGGCCCTTTGGCAAGGATAATTTATACAGCAAAGTCACAACGTGGGTACAACATGGGTCAAACTACAGTAAACCTGTACGATGACAAGTATAGCTGCTTAGCTAGTATTGATCCGATAGGGAAATGAGTTACATAGCAAGGATACATAGAAAAATAGATGTTTTGGGGAAGGGATGGGACCAGATGCTCTGGTCACTCACCTGGGCCACTGATGCCTATCTGGGCTTACTGGACCAGGTGGTGCTAATTACAGAATAATTTGAGGTTACTGTTTATCCCTTGGGGAAGCATGTAGGCCTGGCCATTGCATTTTTATCTTGAGGCCTGGTCTTCAACAGATGAGCCTCCAGCCACGATTCTGATATTTTTATTTCTTTTCTGCTGACTTCCTCCAGTCAGTCAGTCCCTTTCTATCTAACTTAGCTGCCTATAATAAATCACACATGCTAATCTATGTTGAAAATCTAAGACACATGAGTTACAAAAGTTCATATATTGAAATCCGGTGCCTCGGAATGTGATGTTCTTTGGAAATAGCGTTGTTTGTGATTTGATTAGTTAAGGTGAGGTCATACTGGAGTTGGGTGAGCACTAAATCTAATGACTGTTTTCCTCATAAAAAGGGAGAATTTGGACACTTAAGATACAGGGAAAACACCTGCTGAAGAATAGGAAGCTAGCCACGTGTGAGCCCAAGAGGCAGGCCCAGACCCATTTCCTTAACGAGGAACCAACCCTGCTGGAACCTTCCACCTTCGCACTTCTAGAACAATACCTGTTTTTTTGGTACCCAGATCCAACTCAGCACCTTGTGCTTTTGAGGCAGGCGGCAGCACCACTGAGCTAAATCCCTGGCCCCAGAACAATACATTTTTGTTGTTTACACCACCAAGTTCCTGGAACTTTGCTAGGTAGCTCCTACAAAGCTAACACCCACACATTTCCTGAGTTCCGTCCCCCCCTCCTCCCAGATCATCTTAGCAGGAAAAGGGACTTGTGTTGTTTCAAAATAGTATGAGGACATGACATTTTCTGAAAGTTAGCTTTTTCTGTTCTGTTTTCTCACTACGTAGTTCAGGCTGACCTCAAATCCACAGTGATCCTCCTGCCTCGGCATCCCAAGGGCTTGGATTACAGCGATGTGATTGATCTGTCACCACGCCAGGCTGAAGATTAGCTTTTGTAATTTATCTGTAAGAGCCTAAATTCTGGAAGTCATGTGACTCAGTGTGCTTTCTTTGTACAAATAGCAACACATGTCCTGGTTTTCAGCAGTCTTTGGTTTTCAGCATGATTCCTTCTCAGTTGCCGGTTTCTGCAGCATTTTCGGTTCTCTGTGTCATAAAAGTCAGCTCCCTGGATACTTTTATAGCAGCTGTTTATGAGACACCTAACACCGCTGTCTCCTGAAGAGGCGTTGGCATTGATGAATCGGAACCTGGATCTTCTGGAAGGAGCAATCGAATCAGCAGCCAGGCAGGTGGCATCTCTCCTATCTCTCCAGTGCTAAATTCTTTGGGAAAGATGGCGAGTCGGGGAACAGGGTCCTGGTGAGGGTCAGTAACATTTTTGGATGGTATATATGTATCAGGACAGCCAAGATCTTTGGTTACGATTAGAATCCAACTTTCTACTCACACTGTTATTAGAGCAAGGACACTGGTCTGCTGCCCTAACAGTGAGAACATGGTTAAGAGAAGAACATTTTGGTCAGCACTGAGAAGCAGCAGAACCTTGAGGAACTCACTGTCAACTCAGCATCGCTGGGAGGGTAGGGGACCAATGGGGCAGGGACCCGGTGCTGTTCTTGGAGTTTTAGTGGCCTGGTGTACTCTTGGCATCCTAAGAGTTGGTAGGTTTTCAGGTAAATTGACAAGTTGGGAACTATTACACCCAAGTTGCAAGTTACTTACTAGTGTGTATTATATACTTCATATTTGATTCTAATTACAAGATAAAAGTGTATATGTTAATTTATGGTAAGACCTTGAGTTGAATGATTAAGTTTAAAGCAAATCATACAGTCTAGGTGAGTGGTTTGGACAGCTATTATTTAAATAACAGTTGTAGATCAGGGATAAAACAGGGATGTAGAAGTGTGACAAAACTCATAGGTAGGTATGTGTGTCTGTATACATGTATGTATGTATGTATGTATTTACAGTACTGAGGCTTGCAGGGTTGAGCCCAGGTAGCACTGAGCTATACCCTAGCCCTTTTTAAAATTTTACTTTGAGACAAAGTCTCATCTAACTTGCAACCCTCATGCCTCAGCCTCCTTAGTAGCTGGAGTTACAAGTGTGCACAGCCACACACAATGAATATTCAATATATTGTCGTGCATATTAAAATTTAAAAGGTTACCAGGAGTTCTGAAGTTCTTTTTCATGTTTTGTCCAACTGTTTGCTTAAAGGCTACAGCAGCTTGTCAAGGTGGCTCTTCTAATCCGGAAGTACTTGTAGGTCAGGCAACCCATGAGAAGCCCTCCTTGTGAGGAGCAGGAATCATGTTTTCAGGGTACAGTGGCAGGGAAGCTGGGGTAGAAGAGGAAGTTAATAGAGCACTTGAGTTACAAATCACTCCTGACACAGCCAGGCACAATGACTGGTCAAAGTTCAAGAACAGGACAGGTCTGGGGAAGAGCTGGGCACACAGTTAATGACTGCAATGGCTGCCGGAGCCGTATGTGTCCTGGAAAACTGTCCATGTCTATGAAAGAAAGAAAGAGTCATATAGAAACTACAGTGGCAGGATTAGACACTTAAAGTGTTTGGGAAAGGACAGGGAGTTATAAAAATACAGAAAACAAATGGTTAAGAGTTGTTGGCCTCCCAGTTTTTCCTGCAGCACCTGCCTCCTTTGATTTTTGTGTATTTGAGAAAAGTGTTCATTAGCTATGTATTTGACAGGGTGCACATATTATTGTGACTCCAGAAGATGGTATTTATGGCATCAATTTAACCAGGGAATTCATCTATCCATACTTGGAGGATATCCCAGACCCTCAAGTGAATTGGATCTCCTGTGATAATCCTAACAGATAAAGAAATAAAACATGAAAATTTCCATCATAATCATCACATTGTTTTATCTGGGAAAATGTTGTGATGGCCATTGTGCAGGTCCTGTGTTAGCTTTCTATCACTGAAATTTAAAGATAAGGAGGGGCTTCCTTGTGTCATTTTACCATTTGCTTTCTATGTGCCTCGTACCTGTTTGTCTCTCATTCTCTGCATTACTGTTTTCTTTTGTATTTAGTTGATTGGTTTTGTAGTGAGACATTTCGATTTGCCTTCTCATTTGCTTTTCTGTATATTATTTTATGAATGCAATAACTTTATTTACTTTTTCTATGTACACTAATTAGATTTTTAAAATTTTTTTCAGAACCGTAAATATATTTTAAATTCAACGGTGCATTTTAGATATACATAACGATCACATTTATTATAGGGAATCTGTACCTGTACATGAAATATCTTGCTTCTCCTTTTTTCTCATGCCCTTCCCCTCCTTTCAACCCCTTTCCCCTCCTTCTTTACAGAAGGTTTGTTTCCATTTTTCTTTCTATTCTCTTTTTCTCTTGTCCCTGGTCTATCTTTGTTTTGCCTTGTCATCCTCCTCACCTCCCCCTCCTTTGTTCCCCTTTCTATTTGAACACATTCTTCCCATTTCCCAATATCTATTTTACATTTTGGTCTTTATTTACACTTTTGGTTTCTTGCACCAGAGAAAGTGTATATTTAAACATGTGTAAGATGTATTTCCCTTAAGAGTGTGGTCTCAAGGTGCATCCATTTAGCTAGAAATGTCTCAAGCTTATTCTTTTTTATGGCAGAGTAGTACTTCATTATATAAAAAAACCTCATCTTCTTTATCCTCTCACCATCCGTTGATGGGCATTTGGGCTGTTTCCAAGATTTAGCTATTACAAACTGTGCCGCTATAAACATGGGTGTGCATATATCACTGTGGTATGATGCTTTTAATTCTTTTGGGAAGATAATAGAAAGGGAACAGCTGGGTCAAATCAAACCTCTAGTTTTAGGACTTTCTAGTTTAGGTTTCTCCATACTGATTTCCACAGTGGTTGCACCAGTCTACACTCCCTCCAACAGTGAAGAAGGGTTCCTTTTCTCCCACAGCTCCTCTAGCATTTGTTATTTGTTGATTTCTTGATAGCAGCCATTCTTTCTGAAGTAAGGTGGAATCTCAGCGTTGTTTTCATCTGCATCTCTAGAATGACCACTGAAGTTGAACATTTTTTTCATGTTTGTCATTTCTACTTCTTCATCTGAGAAATGTCTATTCATTTCAGATGCCCATTTTTGGACTGGGTCTTTAAATTTGGGGGTTCTGATTTTTTTGAGTTTTATATATTCTAGATATTAGTCCTTTGTCTGAGAAACAGCTGGCAAACATTTTTAACACAATGTGGGTTGTTTCTTCACTTGGTGCTTTCTTTTGCTGTGCAAAAGCTTTTTAATAAGATGAGATCCCAGGTGTTGATTTTTTGTAATAGTTCCTGTGCAATTGAGGTTTTAGTCATAAAGCCTTTGCCTACACCAATGTCTTTAAGAGTTCTTCCTATTCTATCTTCCTGCAGATTTAGTGTTTCTGTTTTAATATTTAGATCTTTGACCCATTTTGATTTTAGTTTAGTGCATGGTGAAAGATATGGGTCTAGTCTTAGTCTTCAGCATGTGGAAAACCAGTTTTTCTAGCACCATTTATTAAAGAGGCTATCTTTCCTCCAGCGAAGGTATTTGGCGCCTCTGTCAAAGATAAAGTGGTTGAGTGTGTCTGGAGTTGTTTCTGCATCCTCTAGCCTGTTCCATTGATCCTTGGGTCTGTTTTGTTTTGGTTTTTTGCTGTTTTTTTTAATCACAGTAGCTTTGTAGTATAATTTCAAGTC